TGGCGGCTCCCCGCTTATGCTAATGAAGCCCGGGAAATTCAAATCCCGGGCTTCATTAGCAAGTGCGGTATGCATACATTACCCCGCTAGTTCGAACTAGCGGGGTAGTGTAGACATACCCAGAGTGATTGCTCAAAGACGTGTTTTTATTCTCATGTGAGGAAGCTTACAATTTGGCTTGAAAGTTCACCGATTGGTATTCATCAGTAAAGGCAAGTTCATCTAGAAACAGTGTGTGCAGCACCTTTGTTGATGAAGATTTCAAAGTGCTTTACAGATAGTGACCCATCAGTTTCCTTTATCTTTCTCAAAGGCAGGAAGGGCAATAGAAAGACCTCAACAGTGTAGTTCATGCAAAGGGGAAAGGCAAGTGTTTGCCCTTCCATGACCAGTTTGGGGGCTGAGCAGAGGAGTGAAAGAGAATGCAAGAGGCAAGAAATAGCAGCTTTAATGTTATGTTCTTCTGTAAGTGCTGGTCCCTATGGGCATTCTCTGTGGAGTACATGCACTCGTGCTCACAAGACTGGAAGATTCTTCACTAATGATGTTCTTGGTCGATGCCTGCACCTCTTCGGGCACCAAACCGAGGTATAAGGATGGCACAGAACAACCATCTCTCTAGTTCTTATCTACTGCTCAAGGTCCAAGATCTAACTCCAACAGTATCTGTAACTTTGCTATCATTCCTGACTTCTATTCAGGTTTTTCTGAAGTAGTTTTTGTCTTTGTGTAGTTAGTGTTTTGGGATTAGGAGGTTTTACCCTCTCCCCTTTATTTCCACCATTCAGATCATATATTATGCCCTTCATGGCCTGTCCCATGATCTTCCTAGCTGGTAATCCCCATACCTCTTGCTTGTCCTGCCTTAAAGAGGCTCACATTCCATTCAAGTTCAAGGCTTGTTCATTTCCAGTTCATTTCCAGCACACTTGCAGATTCTGACTTAGGATACATCTTATGGAGCTCTCTGTGATGCCACAGCCCAATTCTGGGCCTTCTGACCCTGCTGTATATCAGCTAGATCCACCTATTACTGCTCGTCTAGATGGGGTTTATCTTAGTCCTGTATTGTTGAAATCCAGACCTAAACACTATATCAGGTACAGATAAGAAGAAAGTAAGAGAAAACATGCTAATATGATGTGGGAGAAATTCCCACCTAAACCCTCTAAGTAGATGATTGTCTCTCCTACAACTTCGAAGTCAGGTAAGATTCTGTGCCTTGGTGTGGTGTGCCTGGAATGGCTAGGGAACATAGGCTGGTGCCATCTGTACTGAGAGCCGAGAACACTCCAATTGCCACCTAGGAAGAAGAAAGTAAGAGAAAACATGCTAATATGATGTGGGAGAAATTCCCACCTAAACCCTCTAAGTAGATGATTGTCTCTCCTACAACTTCGAAGTCAGGTAAGATTCTGTGCCTTGGTGTGGTGTGCCTGGAATGGCTAGGGAACATAGGCTGGTGCCATCTGTACTGAGAGCCGAGAACACTCCAATTGCCACCTAGGGTTTTGCTGGCGCAGTCAGTTCCTTTTTTTTTTTTTTGCTCAACGTGATTTCCTTCTAGACTAGTGGTTCCACACCACAAGAAGAGGTGCCAAGACTTATCACCAGACCAGCAATGCCACCACCTCTTACAAACAGAAACTACTCACATTCTCCCACTAAACTCGCCTGTGCCATCTTGAGCACTGCTATCAGCTAATACTGACCTGTAGTTGTTGCTTCTCTCAGATTAATTTCAGCAGAGGTACCTATGTTGTCTGTATATTATTTGCTAGACCCTAGCACCACCTATGGTTTTGAGCTGCACATATCAGTCGATTCTGAGGAGTTCTTGGGAAATATGATGCTGATTCATTGACTTGATTTTAGACTCTACAGGGATTCCAACATCTCTAGGGTGTCTTTTCTCTCCTGAGCAACTGTCTTTCAGTTCCAGGAACAGTGGCACCATCCCCCCTGGGCACCACCTCTTTATCCATACAAGCCTACATTCTGACCCTATGGAGTGTCAGACCCTTACTTTAGATATTCTGACTCTAGGAAATCAGACAGGAATACACACAGAGATTCCCTCAGCAGTGCTGTGGGAAGAGGAAACATCCTAATCAACCAGAGCCACTCAAACCACCTGAACCTCTCTTCCTCATCTCCTGATTAGACAGTAACACTGCCTTCTTCTTCTCGTCCTGTCCATTACAATTTCTGAACCACCTGAAGAGAATCAGAGAGGCTCTGCAGATTCCTCTGGAGAGAATTCAGAACCCTATCACAAGCTTATGAATATCTTTCAGACTACAGGCCCTAGAAAGGTAACACTTCCCATTAATCATGCCACTTTGGAAACATACAAGAGGGTCTGGTGCATTCAAGCCACCTGCAACCCAGGCTAGAAAGGATGGAAAGAAGATACTTGGTTCCACCTAACATGAAGCAACATTTGTTTTCCTACTCCAATCCAAATTATCTTCTAATTCAGGTTATCATTGAACCGAGCATAGACTTTTGGTAAGGACACCAAAAAACTGGCCCAGCTTAGGAAAGAACATTTATTAGCAAGCCTACAATTGCAGATAGTAAATTATTTTGAAATTATTATTTTGAAAAGTGACTTACTAAGTACAACAAACTGTCTGTTTGCTAACAGGCTTCCTCAGGAGCTCAGGCTACAATTTCAGTTTGTCCTTGGTAAGAGAAAGATCATAGCAGTTTTCCCTGCAAATGTTAGTCAGTGCGTCTCACGATGCTTGCTGTACCTTGGTGACTTCATGGTAGTAGTCAGTCAGCATGAAGTGGGCTTTTGGCTTCACTTCTCATGTCTGTCCTTTAAGAAAAACTATATTGTGGATTTCTGTTTCCCTTCCATCTTCAAGACATTGTGATGGATGGATAGGGTGTATGGCAAGGGGTCAAATGAATTTTAGGATAATGGAGATGACTGCTATATAAAGTAGACAGCTGTGATACACAGGAAATAGCCCTGCTGTCCCAATGGATACTGTCTAGGTCTAATAAAAACTGGATATTTCCTCTCTCTTTATTGATCAGTTGCTGATTGTAGAAGGTGGGATGAAATGAAAAATGATCACCCATTTACAAAGCTTGGGGCACATGTTGGGGAGCTGTTCTTCCCTAATGTGGTGTTTTGTACAAGGGGGAAGTGTACAAAGGAATCACTTCAACTTCTGGAATACAGACTTCTTTGAGACAGATGTGCAGCAGCCCGTTTTGTGTCAATACATTATAACTTTGTTCTAGGATGGGAAGTGAAGAGTAACATCGTTTTGAGACAGTAAGGGTAATAGCCATAAGCAGCCTGTTATCATTATGACAGTTACAGTTTTGTTCGAATTCTGTGATCAGAAACGCTACAAATGCAAAAAAGGCTACCACATCTTCAGATATTCAAAATAGTTAGGGCTATGGATGTCACCTGGATACTCTAGTGACCCTTTGACACAGGGGAGGGCAATAATTTTTGATGGGGGAGAGAGGCAATCCAAGATTTTAGAAAGTGGTCCAGGGCGTACTTTTCCACGATGTTAATAAAGGAGGTGCAGGGTCTGGGATGGAGGTTGGATGCAGAAGGGAGCTTGGGGTAAGGGATTAGGGTGCAGGAGGGTGTATGGAGTCTGGGAGGGAGTTTGGGTAAAGGAGGCGGTTATAACCTGGGGCACTGGGTGGGGTGCAGGTGTTTGGGTTGTGACCTATGGCAGGAAGGGGTTGTGACCGGGGGCAGGGATTGGGGTGCAGGTTCTGGGAGAGGGTATTGGTACAGGAGGGGGCAGAGGGTTTGGGTTATGTAGGGTGGGAAGCAGAGGGGGGAGAAGGAGGATATGAGGTGCCAGAGGCAGGATCTAGCCAGGAGATTTGACAGGCTGCAGGGGCCACATGCATGTGTGAATAACTACTAGCCTAAAGGGAGGGGAAGCTTTGTGTGCTGCCTGTTGTTCAGCACAATCCCATTGGCGGGTTTCTGTTTTGGAGTCAGGGACAGCTCATGAAGCCTTCCTGCCTTCCCTCCAGGCTCTCAGTTGTATAGGATAAATGGCCAGCAACTCCTTTTCTGAGCAGTGTGTGGGTGGGGCAAGGCAAACAGGCAGCCTGCCTGGGACTCCCCGTTGCATCTGTGGGCCAGATCCAGAGGCATGGAGGGCCGTATTTTGCCCAGCCCTGCTTTAACACCATGTTGACGTATTTGTTCAGTGCTGACTCAGTAGGAAGAATGTTAAATAACAAATTGCCAACACCACTTCCTGTAGCACCAAGTTTTTCTTGGATCTTTCTCATCCAAATACTGACCATCCATACTCTTCAAGGTTTATAAGAACTTATCAGGTTACAACCCAAAATTGTGTGGCTGCAAAAGTCAAAGGTGATAAAACTTAATAGCTGAACATTTTCATACAGTTACTGTTTCATGTTTGCTGTTTATAAATCTAGTTCCAATAGGATCTTTTAGATCTCGGTAAAGAAAAAAGTGGACATGAATTGAATTTACCATCAATGGAACTGTTATGAGATTCATAAACAAAAATGTATCAAAGATCCAAAATCAAGGGTCTTGACTCTTCAGTGGGAGTCAGACACCCAGCACATATCAGGAAGGGCTCAACATCTTACAAGACCAGCCCTCAGGTATATAAAATGTTCTTTATAAGAATCTGCCCTTGCACAAAACTCTTATAGAACAGTACATGCAGAGTCTTATTGTGGTCACTGGGACTCCACAGAGATGCAAAGATCTACCCTACCAGATCTAGTATTCTGTGTCCAACGGTTATCTGTACCAAATATTTTAGACAAAACTAAAAGATACCTGCATTAAGCAATATGAACTAGCCTGTCCTTAAAATAAGTTTTTTCTGAACCTGTGAATTAATACATTAGCACAAACAGGTTTATAAATTAGATTTGTACAGGGCGAAACACGTGTATGTCAATGTTTGTTTTTGACTTCAAGGTGGGGATATGATTAGTTAACGTGTCAGCTGGTGGGTGCTAGAGCAGCTTCCCAGCCGTCGTGGATAGGGAGTTGTTCCAGCCCCGTGGGGCCCGCTGTGGGGGGGAGGAGTGCTCCAGCCCAGGCAGAGGGGGCCATTCCAGCCTAGCTGTCCCCCTTTAATCTGTTAACCAGTTAAACGGGATTTTACATCCCTACTTCAAGGCCCTTTCTTTTTGTTTCAAAATAGTGAGATAAGATAATTTTGTGCCCTGCCCCACAATCACAGTAATGAGGTCAAGGTTGAAATGATGTCTTAAAAGATGTATTTTACATTGTTTTACTGTGTCTCATTCACAAATAGACAGCTAAGATTTGGAAGAGAAGAAAAGGTTGATGGGAGTGAGTGTTTCCAGGCTTCCCTGCCCAACATGTATATCAATAGATTTCATCACTTTTCTTAGACGGGGATTTAAAGCCCCTGAAGGAGATAGTTGAGGGCAGTAGGTGGGTCTTTCCACCTGACTCCTATTTCTGAGACTGTATCTCTCCCTCCCCACACTTAAACTTCTTTATCCTCCTTTTGATTTTGTTTCCCTTGCCTTATCCGTAATCAGTCTATTTTATTGGTATGGGAACTATTACAATTGCAATTAAGAAACTCAGTTTACAAATGCTAAAAACATGTCAATTATATATTCTGGCTCTTTTCTCTCCTCCCCAGAAACAGGAGTTGGCAGAAATCCTAAAAACCCATCAATACAGTGGCTGTGATGATCAGGGCTTTACAGAACAAATATTAGACAAAATGCATAGCAACCAAAACAAATTATAACAATAAACACACAAAACTAAACAAAAAGTTAGCCAAACTCTCTTTTTTTTTAACATTTTGATCTGCTGTTTGAGAAATTAGCCTTAATTCTGTTCCTCATACATGGCAGCGGGACTCATTATCCATTCCCCTAATGCTTTAATCTTTTTTTGGCTATTGCCCAGTATGCTCATCATATGCATGGAATCTCTTAGTCTGGGAAAGGATTGATGCTGGATTTCAGAACTGGTATTTAAACAGTTATGATTAATAGGATATATGGGCAGAATGAAGTACTTATGTTTCAAAGGATGCCTAGCAATGAACAATTTCAGAGATTAACCTAATATAGCGTACTATATTTCAAAGTCTGGTTAAAACGTTAAATGAGTTTCAAATTAGGAATAGGAAATTCAAACCAGGAATACTCTTAAATGGGCTGAGTATAGCCACTGATGTCCTCTCGGCTTGTAAGGATGGTTTTGCAGAACTGTATTAACTCCTTGTCAAATTATTTCTTAGAGACAGAGTAAAACTAGGATATAATTTCTCCATTGCATAATCTGAAATACTGACCTGTTTGCAGTTGAATTCACACACTTCAGGACAGAATTCTTGGTGATTATTATGGCACAGTCTAATTAGCCCATTGGTAAAGTACGTCCATATTACCTGTCTTTAGTGAAAGTAAAATGCTATAAAGTGGTCTTCCTGAAATTCTGCAAATGTAGGCGATCCAAAATGGGTGGATTTGAGGTGGTGGTGGTGTGCGTGTAAGTGGAGAATGCTAGCAATATAGCTTTGCTACATTGTATTACCCTTTTTCTGATCCTGTGGAATGAGAGGATTGTGCTTTATTTAGCAGGAAGAGAGGGCCACATCATCATTCACCTGCAAATCCACAGCGAATCCTTCAATTAGGATAATACTGATTAATTTGTTGTTATACTACATGGGTTCCCTCTCTGGTGAACAAAACCCACATGAATAGGCAGCAGTTGGGAGCAGGAACTAGTCTGAGGCTTTTCACAGAATGAGCAGTCTGAACAGATTTGAAAATCTGCTGAGATTAACATCTCCAGTTCAGTCATGATTGTCCCACAATTGGTCAGATGATCCATCCTCTTCTTACTACTGATGGGTGACTCTTCACTGGGTTGGTAGCTCAAATGAGTGACCTTTTGGGTCTGCTATAAATTAGCCTGGGAATTTTGTAACCAGAAGCTTTTTTTCGTCACTGGTTTAATCCTGCCAGTCCAATGACTTTTCCACACGTGAAATGCTCTTAGATTGAGGTCTCATCTCTGGCAGCTCTACCTTTAATCCTGCCTGGGACCAGGAAGTACAGAGCAATATGGAAATTAAAATGTCATTTTCACAAATATTGTATATGAAGATTTTACCTTTAACTGTCAGTGTCTGAACTTGTGGGAATACCTTGCAATTACAATACTTTCCTATCTTTTATACTGTAAAATCATAACTGAACATTTGAAACATCTACCCAAAGAATAAAGTATTAAAAGTAGATTGGGACGTTTTTGCTAGGCTCTGTCAGTCCTGCCGTGAAGGAAGGTTGATTTTGTCTAATGATAACATTGAACACATTGACTCACTGTCCTAAGACTAAGCCTGTAATCATGTTCACATTTTAGGGGGATTCATATTTGTAACAAGATGTTCATATTTTTATTTTCAGCTGTTGTACATATTAATTTTTAGAACCTTTACATATTTACACTTTATACTGTAGTATTAGTTTAATTATACAATATGGTGGATTGTTTACAGTATATTAAACTTTTTACTTTATTTTATACCTTAGCCAAAGTGAAAGAGAGGAGTTTGAAACAGAGTTCAAACAGAAGTATGAACGAGAGAAGACTCTGCTAACAGAGGAAAACAAAAAGCTCTCAAATGAGCTTGATAAGGTGAGTGTTGCTTAACTGAAGCTAGAGGGTTTTACAAGCAGCAAGTATCCTGTATACAGAATCATAGTAAAGATGGATAAGACCCATTTTAGATAACTGAATCTTACTTCTAATCTCCAATATAGGCTATATCAGCTGATCTTGTACAGAAGAATGTCCCCCATTTGGTTTGAAAAGGGAATTGACTTTTAGCTGATCTTTTAAATGTATTTTAAAAGCACTAGATTACATTGATTTTTATGGCCTTTTCACAAACTCTTCACAATTCTTTTTAAGCCAAATTAAAACAATAATGATTTGCTTGCATGACCCAAATAACCAATAATGTGATTGCCCAATAATGAAATTAGTTTACATGAACTTGCATATTGATTACAATGAAGTGACTTGGTCATTTCTACCTTGGAAGATGATGTTTTACTTAGAAATCTTAAACTAGGCTATGTCTACACTGCAGCACTATTTCGGGATACTGGAGGTATCCCAAAATATCTATTCCGTATCTTTTGAGCACATCCATTATTTAAAATATAACAGGCTTTCTATTGTGACATCCCAGTAAACTTCATTCCACGAGCAGTAAGGGATGTTTCGCAATAATGATTTATTCCAAAATAAGTGCTGTGTAGACAGTGCCAAATTTCGAAATAAGTTATTTCAAAATGTACTCAAAATAAGCCATGGAATTTGCATAGCTCAAATTGCATAGCTTATTTTGAGCTATGGGTGCAGTGTAGACACACCCCTACAAATTACAAAGCTGTGTTATACCCACTGAGGAATGGAGGATGCAATTACAATGAAAGAAGAATTGTGCAAAAATAATTAAGCTAAGTTATCTCTTAAACATTCATTTTACATTGAGATGGTCCTGTTCATCATGGTAAATATGAATTTTTAGATAGAACTATTAACATGCATAATCACAAAGCATTGAAACCTGGAAAAAGTGCTTAGAGGATTTATTTTTGAATATGAGAGATGTTGGCCATGAAGGTGATGCTTTCAATTGATAAATACACAACTTAATAATCATGTTGGAAAAAAATTGCAAAATAGATTATTTTTGCATCATTCCAATTTGTTGTTGTAATTCAGTATTTAAAGAAATACAGATACTGTATGGTTGCTCAAGCCCACATAGTTGCTGGTCCGAATTTGTCCTTGATCACTGGTGCTAACAGAAGTCAATTATGTCCTTGATTTTACAGGGATTGCACATGTGAATAGAACCTGTGTGACTGCAAGGAAGGTTAACCACTGGGTATAGTCCTCTACTTAGGCTTGGTCTGTACTACTAACATTTTACTGGCATAGCGGTCAGCTTAGTGTGTGAAAAATCACATACCATAGCTGTTTTAGGTATACTGCCAGAACTCCTGAAGTAGATGCAACAGTGATAACAGTGTTTGGGTCAGCATAGCTAATTCCATTCAGAAAGGTAGTATGGCTATGTTGGCAGAAGAACTCTTGCCAGTTTCTGCTAGTTTAGGCAGTTCTGTTGGCATTGCCAGTCGTAGTAGCAAAGGCTCTGTATAGAAAAGTTCTTGGAGAGTTGTAGTAAGTAGCAAGATTAATCCCACACTCGGTCTATAAATGTGCAAGGTGTAAAATGGATTGGGGTGAGCAAAGAATAGAGTGTCTGAGGAGACAAAGTGGTACATTCCCTTCACAGGCTTCACTCCTGATATTAAGCAGGAATAACTTGGGGTATGTCTACACTACAATGTTAGTTCGAACTAACGGACATTAGTTCGAACTAACATTCATAGGCGCTACACTAGCGCTCCGCTAGTTCGAATTTGAATCGAACTAGCGGAGCGCTTAGTTCGAACTAGGAAAACCTCATTTTACGAGGATTAAGCCTAGTTCGAACTTACTAGTTCGAATTAAGGGGTGTGTAGCCCCTTAATTCGAACTAGTGGGAGGCTAGCCCTCCCCAGGTTCCCCTGGTGGCCACTCTGGCCAACACCAGGGAAACTCTATGCCCCCCTCCCGGCCCCGGCCCCCTGAAAGGGGCACAGGCTGGCTACGGTGCCCGTGCCAGGTGCAAGCCTGCCAGCACCCATCCGCTCCCGGGAGCTTGCCCTGGACCGCAAGAGGCGGGCACCTTCCTGGGCTAGTGTGGACATCGTGGACCTCGTCCACGATCTCCGCACTAGGCACAGGAAAGTGGCCGTCTAGGGCAGGAGAGCTGCCAGCCTGGCCACCCAGGACCAGGTGTGCATGAAAATCAAGGGGGTCCACTGAGACCCCCGACACTGAGCCCTGAGCTTACAATGGCCGTCCTGGGTCAGACCAAAGGTCCATCTAGCCCAGTAGCCTGTCTGCCAACAGCGGCCAACCCTAGGGACCCCGGAGGGGATGGACTGAAGACAGTGACCAATCCATTTGTCTCGTGCCATCCCTCTCCAGCCTTCCACAAACTTTGGGCAGGGACACCACTCCTACCCCCTGGCTAAGACTACTCCATGGACCCAACCTCCATGACTTGATCTCACTTCCCTTTCAACTCTGTTCTAGTTGTAGCCTTCACAGCCTCCTGCAGCAAGGAGTTCCGCAGGTTAACTATTTGCTTTGTGAACAACAACTTTCTCTTACTAGTTTGAAGCCTGCTACCCATTCCTTTCCTTTGGTGTCCTCTAGTCCTTCTTTATGGGAACTCATGAAGAACTTTTCTGAATGCACCCTCTCCACCCAACCCCTGCTTTTAGAGACCTCTATCCTGTCCCCCCTCCGTCTCCTCTTTTCTAAGCTGAACAGTCCCAGTCTCTGTAGCCTTTCTTCATCTGGGACCTGTTCCCAACCCCTGATCATGTTAGTTGCCCTCCCCTCTCCCAGCCTTTCTCTTCCCCTCTCCCACCTCCTTTTCCCAGTCTCCCCCAGTTTTTTTCAATAAAGACAGAGTCAATGTTGGAAGAAACGTTATCTTTATTTTGTACATCAATAAGAAGGGGGGCTAGGGAAGGGTAAGTGGAAGGAGGTGAGGGAGGAATGGGGTACGAGCCCCCGATGGGGAGGACTGGGCTGGCTCTGCGGGTTCTGGGGGTGGAAGCTCTCCTGCAGCCCCCCGATTGCCCCCTCTCCCCAGATGGCAGCCTGCGGCAAGTGCAGCCGGGCTGATGGCCGAGTGGTGTGATGTGCCCAGTGTGGGTACTCCGGGCAATCCAAGCCAGGACTGGTTTTCAAGCGGGGCACCCCTTAGAACTGTCTGTCCGGGGTGGGGGTCGGGACCCTTTAAGCGCAGCCCTCGGCTAGCCTGAGACAGCATCTCCACGCTCTAAGTCCTCCTCTGATGCCCTGCCAGCACTGCTTCCGGCCATCCTTAAGCCCTGTTCAGAGTCCACTCAATGTGGACTTGCTAGTTCGAATTAGCAAAACGCTAATTCGAACTAGTTTTTAGTTCTAGACGCGTTAGTTCGAATTAGCTTAATTCGAATTAACTAATTCGAACTAAGTTAGTTCGAATTAGCGCTGTAGTGTAGACGTACCCTTGGTGACTAGATAGCAGAGCTTCTAATACAGGATCAGATTCTCTTGCACCTTCTATCTTGCTCAGGACTTTTAATGTTGTGCTTCTGCATGCAATACTACATACCTGTATTCTGTAAGATTAAGCACTCAGATATGTCATAAATGTCACAAGATTGTAATTCTGAGGGTGTTCAGATTTGGACATGAGAAGAAAATGTTTCAGGCTTTGTTTCATGCTCAGTTTATTCTGATAGGTGATACTTATTTTTAAAGTAGGCACCCAGGGGTGAGGCACAGGGAAGCAAAAACTCCTTGATCAGGTCAGCAAAAGGGTTAGATCATAGCTCTTTATAGATTAAATGTGGTTTATAAATCCTCTTTCAGCTCACCGCCATGTTTGAGAGGCTAAGTATGAACAACCGACAGCTAGAAGAAGAAATGAGAGACCTGGCAGATAAAAAGGAATCTGTAGCACACTGGGAGGCCCAAATTACTGAAATCATCCAGTGGTGAGTACTAATCTCTAGTGTCAGTGCAGGACTCCTTGGCACAAGGCAGTTGTAGGGTAGGCTGTTAATGTGTTTTCATTAGCATGATGCGTCAGGAAACCCAGATTCTCTTGGTGAAATCTCACAGCTGTCTAGGTTTGAGCTGGATTATTTCCTGGGTGTTTCCTTATGTTCAGGGTTTAGAAACCAGTGTTCCTCCTTAAGAGCAAAAGTTGTCTTCACAACTACAACTGTTTAAGTACCAAAAAATCACACTGGATGTGACTTGTGGCTTTGGGAGAGTGCTGAAAGGAATTGAAGAGTGCCTAAGGAGACTGAGGGGATTTGTATAATTTCTCCTTCAGAACTGACTACTGGGGGCTGGTTTATGTGTGGCAGAGTGAAACTATTCATATGCAGTTTTACAAGACATCAACCATTCCTAAAGCTTGAGTACATAGGGTTAACATGTAAGAACCTCATCGATGTGAATTCCCTAAGAATGCTGTCATTAAACTGTCATGTTGTATTTATAAGAGTTCCTATCACTTTCTTGATCACTGGAGGAAGTACACGCCTGAATTTAAACTATTAATGAAAATAAATTTTACTAGGTGATACTAATTTTAATATCTTTTTCTTTTTGGCTCATTTTAATGTTTCATTTACGTGAAAACATTTTTATCAAAACATTTCTACATATCAGTCACCCGGGGGGATTTCAGTATCCTATTCTAATTTTTGTTGTTGTTTTTTAGTGTTTTCTCCCCGTTTTGTCACTTCCTGTAGCAGCTGAGTAATCTGACTCGTGTGTGTGTGTGTGTGTGTGTCAAAGCAAAAATGGGTAAACGTTGTCAACCTAATTAGGTTTCCTTACAAAGACAATGTTTTGACATCAGTGTAATGCTATTGTCCATATTTGGACAAAACTTTGATTTTTGAATATGGCCACTCAGTGCATATAAAAAAAAGTTGGGCTCTGGCGCGTGTGACATTTTCTAAGCAATGTTGTTTTATGAATGTGCATAATTCAGATCCATGTCTTGAGAACTATATTCTTTGAAGGCATCTTTTTCACAGAGGTAGACATTAAAACAAAATCAAATCTGCTTAATTTTGAGTTTTCTTTTCAAGCTCTTTGTTACATTTCCAATTCCGTCCTACAAAGATGAGTGCAGTAGACACTGTACTAGTATTTCTGCAATAAAACCATTCAGAGGAAATCTGTTCTTTTAGAATTGATCAGAATTATTTGTATAGTTAAAATCAAGATAGAAGATGAAAAAACTCAGTCATTATAAGTAAAATATCATCAGAGTTTTGGTTTTTTTTAACAAAAACAAATATATGGTGGTCTAGCAAAATTGTCAGAGTAACCAAACCCTAATAGGGGATTACTGTGTTATCCAAATACTTCATAAACCAACACGAGACTTGTGAAGGAAGCTATGGTCAGTCACAGTTATGTGTTGTTTCACTTCACAATTTCGATAGATTAAAATGTGTTCATATAGTTATCAAGAAATTCATTATTTCTCCTCTCCAATCTCTTGTGTGTGGTGTGTGTGTGTGTGTGTGTGTGTGTGTGTGTTAACATTTTTTTTAAGAAGTACCACTCTAACTCAGACCCAAAGAAAACTTTGTATTCTCTTAGGGTTGTCATGTGTGGGTTTTTTTAAGGAAAACAAAACATCAGTAATATTTAAACTATAATACTTTCAGATCCAATTCAGAACCAAATTTAGACATTCTATTTGCTAAACTACACAAAGACTTGATAATCTTTCCAAAAATACAAAAGGGGGTGATATAGGAATATAGAGCATTCTGGAATGAAAAAGAAGTTGAGCATATTTAATTTTGAGAAAAGAAAACTGAAGAGGAATATGATAACCATCTTTAAATGTGTTAATGGCTGCCATAAAAAGGACTGTGCTCAATTGTTCTCCTTGCCCACTTGAGATAAGGCAAGAAGTAACAGGCTTAATGTTCAACAAAAGAGATTTAGAATAGTTATTTGGAAAATTTTTCACTATAAGAATAGTTAGATGAAGTAGGCTTCCAAGTGAGGTTGTGGAATGCTATCATTGGGTTTTTTTAAAAGAGGTTGGACAAACATCTGTCAGTGATTGTGAAGATTTATTTGGTCCTGCCACAGCATGATGGGCCAGACTTGACTTCTTTAGGTCCCTTCCAGCTCTACATTTCTTCGAATACTGGGCGGCCCTGGTGCCCTATCTATATTCATATTCTTAATTGCTGTTTTCCATCCTGAGTACACACAACATTCATTGAGCAGTACATAGTCAGCATGTCTCTGCTCAAGTCTGTGCTGTTAGTATCTTTGCTCTTAGGTTATTACTCAAATAATCTTGTAGCATTGTTCCCTTCTCCTTAGAGTTCTGCATGCTAAAATGTGATCCTCCTGTTGGAGAGAGATCCCTCTGCATGTGTATCTGGAGTGGGGATGTTAAGGACTAGTCAGCTATCTGATAAGCAAATGCCTATTGGATAGTCAGTCGACTAGTCTGATAGAGGCAGCTAAGAAAGGGGAAAGGGAGTACTTCAAAGCAGCTGAGCTGGGGATCAGCCGTGCGGCTGCTCCTTGAAATGCGGAGGTGGCATTCAAAGAGGCAGCGCTGCATAGCTGATCCCGGGATCAGCTGTGCGTCACTGCCACATGTGGAGCTCAGGGTCAGCTGGGGACTCCAGCGCAGCATTTCCGCGGAACCTGGGAACAGCTGAGGAGTCCCCAGCTCACTCCAGGTTCTGGGGAAATGCCGCACGAAACCAACAGTCAGCTGGGGAGATCTCAGCTGATCCCTGGTTCCGCTGAAGTGCCGCGCAGAGCCCGGGATTCCCCATGCAGAGTCCAGGGTCAGCTGGCATTTCAAATCATCAGCGCAGCATGGAGCCCGGGGTCAGCAGGGGACTTTGAGTGCTGGCCCCGAGCTGCATGTGGAGTTCCACATTCTTCTTTTGAAATGTTCAAGAGCCCCAGCGATGGAATTTCCATCGACTACTGGACTAGTAAATTAACCGTTACTTAACATCCTTAATCTGGAGTCCTCTTGAATCTCAGTGGGAGTTGTATGTGTTTTGAGAGGAAAATATCACATAATCACTTCATTTTCAGATAAGAAGATCTAGTTTGGCTATTTGCATGTTCTCAATTTTTTTTCTCAGCCACTTGCAGTTTCAGTCCAAGTCTGTATGTTTCTTATTATGGCAGCCACATTAGCTCATAACTGACAGAAATTAAGGTGGAGTCTGAAGGCCACCTCCCAAAATCTAATAGTTTTCTGTCTAAATTACATGTTTTCTGCTTCCCACTCCTCAATAAAAGATGTAGATTAGCAACTTTCTTCAGTGCTAGAGTTATGAAAGATTCATACAGAGATGGGAAACACCTATTTGGTCATCTGAATTGTCTCTGCAGCCAGTACATTCTTGCTTCTGACAATATTCACAGGTTTATTTCCAGTCCAGTTTTAAATAAAGCAGGCAGTTGGATTTCCATCACTTCCCCTGAGACATTTTGTCCCAATCTAATAGAGATCGCTGTCAGGAAGTCTGTTCTGGAATTGAATTGACCGTCTATTCTGTTAATTTCACCTCTTTACTCATAGCTAATACCCCCTTGAGCCATCCTAAAGTGTTTATCCCTCTCTCAGGAGTTAGGGTATACAAATAATTGTAACTTTATTTTGTAACCCTTGCCCCCGTTTACTCTAGCATGATGGTAACAGGCTTTCACAAGCCATCCCACTCCTTCAGGGAGCTTTTAGTTTGACAAGCCAGTATTATCCAAACCATGACAATCCTGGACAAAAATAAGAAAACATGAGACTTCCATAGTCAACTGTAAGTTTTCCCTGCAGGTTTCAGGAAAAGTACTCATTAAATATAATGCTAATGCAGTCATTTTTAAACATCACCCTTTCAGATAGCCAGGGATACTATAATTCAGACCTGTGGCAGAAAGATGAACAGACATTTCTGCTGTTGATTTACTAAGTGACTTTGGAAGGTACTTACCACTTATAGATGGAAAAAGATAGATAACCAAACTGTTTAACGGAAGAGAAAGAATGTGCATTCAGTAGAGCAAAGGGAATCTAAGATCCTCAAATCTTTTGCTACATTTATTAAGGAACTGCAGGAAGGAATACCAGCACTGAAAAATTAAGTTTTGACAGGACTCTATGAGGTCTAAAACAAATGCAAGCACTTCTGAGGTCAGCAACACTAGTTTGAATCATTGTAAATCGTTTGCCACCTGCTGGCTATCAGAGGGATAGCAGGGCACTAGACTTGTTCATAGGTATTTCTAATCCACAGTTACTATCCGCTCAAACCTTGGCTTCAAATACCAATTTTCTAAAAACAAAAATTTTGAAACAATTACGCTTTCTCTTAAACACTTTCTCTTAAACATTCTCCTACAGTTTTTTCAGTCCTTACTTTGCAATACAGAGAACCTGAAAGTACAGTCAATAAAACAATGGTTGAGAGAGTTTTCAATGTCTGAGCTAAGGAAAATGCGTAGGGTGACCAAACTTCATAATCAGTGACAAGCAAACTGGGTCTTCAAAATTATTTGTTTTAAATTAGTAACAAAAGTAAGAGAGTGTACTTATTTAAAATCTGTATATTTTTAATCTCTCACATTCCTTTCAATCTGCAACAAAGGTGTAATGCCACATACTATAGAACAAAATCCCTAAAGTATTCAAAGCATCTCTTCTTTAGCTCCCATGTACCTGTGGCTTCTGCCTTCCCAGATAAAATTTCTCCTTCTTTCCTTCAAAGCTTCTCCCAACACCACTTATGTCTGCATCTCTGTTTTTTTTTTCTAGCCTACTCTCACCCTTTTGCTCCTGAGGGCAGGTCTATACTACTGCAGAGATCAGTCTAAGTTATGGAAATTCAGCTATGTTATTCACGTAGTTGAAGTCAATGTACTTATATTTACTTATCACTGTCTTTTCACTGCGGTGTGTCAACTGGAGATACACTCTCGTAGACTGGCCTTGCACTTCCCATTGAGGTGTGGTACCAGAGTCAATGGAAGAGTGATCAGCAGTCGATTTGTTTGGTCTATAGTAGACGTGATAAATTGGCCCCCACTTGCTTAACCTCTACTCCATTGATCTGGCCCATAGTGAAGTCATGCCCTAATATGCAGCCTGAATCTCTCCCTTTTAGCTGTTTCCTTTGTCCCCTTCTCTTGTTCTGATCTTCAGCCCTATACCTGAAACAACTGTGCCACAGAATTTTTTTTAAAATCTCCATTAAAAACACACTTTTTCTAGGAATGCTTGGATGGAAGTGCCTTCTGCAATTTCTGGCTGAGTTTGAAAGACCAGGAAAGTCTGAGAAACAACTTGGAGTAAAGATTGATTCATGGATTGAGTTTTCCAAACCAGTATTATCTGATAAACTTGACACCTGCCTTATGTGGGTTGACAGGACACAAAAAGTACCTTGACTGAACCACAAAATATTTGTCTGGCAAACCAAACCAATTGTAAGAGAACCCGAGGCTCATTTGTGCCAACCCAGAGTTAGACTGGGAATGACGAGACTTACTAACCTCATGACCATCTGTTTAGGCAAGGCGGTTACATAGAATTTCACACTCCACAGACAAGAGGCAATCTGGAGCGTTGTATTGACTAGTGGTATAGAGAGAGTTCAGTAAACTGTGTCTGGCAACAGGGGGGAAGGTAGAAGTGGCACTTGCAATCACTGACCCGGTTCTGTACTTTGATGACAACAGAATGCCACAGAATATCCATGAAACAATAAATAAGTGAGAGAGGCCAGCTTTCAGGTTCAAGGGTTCAATCCCCTGTATCTGGTGAGAAGCAGAATTCTCCCAGTGGAAGGAACACCCTGCCGAGCTAATGGAATCTATTGTTTCCGTCATGATCCAATCAGCAATGATTGGATGAGACACCAGTAGGCTTTCACAGAACATTAATTCCTAATGTCTTTGGAACTGAATGCAAACGTATATCCCACCAAGGAATACCTATGGTGTGGAAGAAACAATTCAGTCAAGAAATGCAGACTCTGTTCTGCTCATTATAAATCACTATCTTATAGTTTGGGATAATGTCCACGTAAGGCATAAAGTATCATGTGAGATTTTGGTAAAAGAAGTATGAAAGCTTGAGTCAGTTGTGTGTGAGAAATCAAAACTACATATTGAAGGCAAATTATGAAAATTAGACATTGAATATGCCAAGGATGTGCTCAGCCCTGATGGCCAATGTCACAGTTCATTTTGAATACAAAGAAAAAGTCTTCCTAGATGCAGCAGCAGCAGAAGTCCAATATTATCAACCTTTGGCAAGAAGATCAAAATATTGATGAAAACCAAAAGTCTTATGACCTATCAGGGTGTTTGTGTACAGGCAAGAAGAAACTGCTATACTATTCAGTAAGAAAGCTTTGTTGTATTCCAAAAAGTAACTAACAACTTTGCTTCCAAAGAGAAAGGTGCTGGAAACTCCACTTGTACCGTGCCCGATGGAACTCCAAGGGAAGATGTGATCATTTTGTAATGATTACCGTTTCATTTAACTCATGACCATGTTCACTGGACATGACAAACTTGATTAGACAGGCTACCTGTGGTATGGCATGCCACAAATAACTTGGTGAGAGGGGACGGGAGGGGACATAGTTTTTTTTAACTGGCTGTGGATCATGACCTCTCTCTGGGTCTCTGGTGAAAACATGTGAATCATACCTCTATTTCTACAAATACTGGAGGGATGGAGCTGTGACTTATCCTTGGCACTGCTGAGCTTGTCCTTTCTGTCGCCTCACTCTTAACAAGTATAGTACTTCCAAAACTGTATCGAAATAGTAAATTATTATTAGCAGGATAAACCTTTATTTCTTAGCAATAATGCCTTATTCAACCATGTTAACTATATACATGAACCCTGAAGAAGCCACTGTGTAAGTGTCCAAAAGACTTACCTTGGATAGGATGTCTGCAAAAGATTTCACGGAAATGAAATTGCCAGGTATCAGATTTGCCATTTTAGATCACTGTCTCTCTCCACATCAAAATTCTAAGGATGTAATGAGCAGTAACGTGAGGAGGAAAGGAGAGATCAGTAGAATAGAAGAACAAGATTTTCTCCTTCCATAAAAGTTACAATGATTGCAGAATTTAGGGACCATTGCTTGAGGGATGTTTTTGCCAAAATATATTCACATACTCAAATTTAATGGCTGTTTCCATCCAGGTTACCAGATGGGACATGTCAAACTAGCACTGGTCCCTTCTAGAACCTGCTAATCCATAAAATGAGTAGGCTTTGATGATATGGAATTTGGTTCACCTAGATGTGGAGAATGGAGTCTGAAATACAACCTTGTCTTTATGGAAGATGCAGTGCAGCTCTTATCTTCAAAGAGCAGGAAATTTGAAAAATCTTGTTGTCGTGATCACAACCAGAAGTCATGTATTTATGGAAGGCAAATTCAGTGAATAAGAGGCCCTTTTCTCACTTACACTGTTTAAGAAACAACTGTAAAAAACAATTATTAAATAGAAACTGAGGAAGAGTCTAATGTCACTAGTTTTGCAGTCAGTTATGATAACACCTTAGATTAACAATGGTTTTTTCTAATCCTTCTTATCTGAAGTTTCCTGGGTGCTTTGTTAATACATAGTAGAATATTTAATTTGAACTTACTGACTAAAGATAAACTGTTACACTTAATTGTTACAGTCTGTATTTTGGTCAGATGATGCTGGTCAGGACACAAATATTATCTGCTTTCTTAAGCTTTATATTTGGTTTCTTTATCTTCAATTGTCTTTGTAGAACATACCATATAATTTAACTGTACAAAGTAGCAAAGGGTTTAACTTTTATAATTACTGCCTTGTTTATTCTAAATCAGGCATGTCCAAAGTCCGGCCCGCGGGCCAATTGCGGCCCGTGTTCCGATTTAATACGGCCCCCGCTTCCTCCCCCTCTCCTGGCTCCCTGGCGCTCTTTTGAACTGGCGCGCTCAGCGCGCCGCTTCCGGCCGCGCCGCCGCCGCCCATGGCCTCTGCGGTCCTAGAGCCTGCCCTGTAGGGCACGTCCGCAGCCCCGCTCGGCTGCGGGTTCGCCCTGTCCCCGGGCTGCCGTGAGGCCGGCATTCCCTGCGCTCTCTGCCCGCCTCCGATCCTGCGGGCCCTCCGCCTTGGGGCTGAGAGTGAGGGGACAGCCCTCACGCATGTTCACTTCTTCAAATCTGGCCCTCTTTGAAAAAAGTTTGGACACCCCTGTTCTAAATTAATGGTTCCTTTACTTTTACATTTTTCATTTAATTTTGTTTGTTTGTTTTGTTTGTTTTTTTTGTCTAGGGTGAGTGATGAAAAGGATGCTCGAGGGTATCTACAAGCCTTGGCCTCTAAAATGACAGAAGAATTAGAGGCTCTGAGGAACTCCAGTTTGGGTGCAAGAGCAACTGTAAGGATCCCATTTAACATATCAAAAACATTTTGTATAAAAATATTAATTATGACTTTGTATCAGTTTTGCCTTCGATGTAAACTTTTATCTAAATAGGCTGTCTCATGAGACCTTGCAAACATTTAGAAACTTTACTATTGACCACCACAATTTAATTTTTGCCAATTAATGGAAAGGCACCTCTTTTATAATATGATTTTGTATAATTTTGTCGAGGGGGTTACAGACAGTTTTATATGGATTTATTGAGAGGGTGCTGCATAAAACTGCAGAGATTAAAAAGATCTGCACCGTCACAGTATGGCATATATTCTCTTTGAAGGAGCCTTTCCATTGTGTGAGTCTTCTCATAGTTGCCATTAGAGTCCATGCTTGTAAGTGACTGTGGTTTACAAAGTTGAGAGTATTGCAAACATGAAACTATCTTTCTGTCTCAAAATTTGAAGAGAAAAAAGAGATGATGTATTTGGGGACTTTTCAGAATCCTTTTTGGACTGACCAGCTCTCATGTCAAGAGCATATGGGCTGAAGTACCAAAACAGGTAATACTAATATTTAAATTAATTCAATTTTCTGTGGGTGGTTTGCTTGGTTTTTTATAGGACATGCCCTGGAAGATGCGCCGCTTTGCAAAACTGGATATGTCAGCAAGGCTGGAACTGCAATCAGCTCTTGATGCAGAAATCCGAGCAAAACAGGCCATTCAAGATGAGTTAAATAAAGTTAAAGCTTCCAGCATATCTACAGAATGGTGAGACAGAATGGTTCTGATGGAATTTCACTATAGCAGCTAGCCAAAGATTTTTGGGGGGGAGAACATATAGTTATAAATGTTAAATAGCTTGTCAAAATCTGGTAATGAATGTTATGTTAGTTTCTTATAACCTAAAAACAACACAGGACTCTTTTTTGTATACTGTGAGTAACTGAAAAGATACTATGAAAAACTGCAGCTCTCTCTCTCTCTCTGGACTGTCAGATGGCACTCTTTCAATAATCAAATAATTACTCCCACAAACATTTCACAGCTTTAGGGCTGACGGAGTAACAGACACTTGTGTGTCTGTCTCAGAACATGTATTCCTTTCTACTTCGTGAACAGGCCTAATGATTTGGATGGACAAAAATCAATTTTTGCATGTTGATTTGTGCAGGAATAAAGTCTGCTTACTGAGATTTAAGAATTCTTCTTTCCTTCACTGATCCCTTCTTTACTTCAGTTTCAGAATTCATTTGATTAGGAGGACTGGCCAAAGCAGAGGATTAGTATTGAGGAATAATGGGGCATTTCACTTGTAGGTCATCAATTGTAATCTAGCCAAGGTCAGAAGTTAGCAAATGTTGATACCTAAGAAGGCTTCTTGGTAGCCTGCAGGCCCGCTGACATGGAGGAGCAAAGAGGGCAATTGCTTCAGAGCCCAGAGATTCAAAGGGGCCCAGAGCTCCCAGTTGCTGCTGTGGCAGCAGCAGGAGCCCTAGGCTCCTTTGTACTGCTACTGGAGCACCACTGCACATGGCTCTGAGGACTGCGGTGGGTGCGCTGCGATCTGGGTAGCATTCTTGGTCCTGCCCCTTTTTTCTTTCGCTCTTCCCCATCTGGGGGCACAGAGTCACCTCCCCTACACTTTGCCCCAGGGCCCACATTACTGTCAGCTTTACTGGCAGTCTGAAAATAAATTTGGTGGTATGAGTCTAGTTTAAACATCCACCACTGACATTGGTATTGATTGCTCAGACTACCAACAAAGGAAACAAAGAGACTAAGAACAAAGCAAGTATAAGAGCTGAATAGCTTTTTATTACCCCAAAAAGTGAGCCTTCCAAGTCAGACTTGAGCTTATTGTAAGAGAACTGTGCACTGCCACTATGTATGCTGCCACTATTCTGTTGGAAATTAGAGGACTTCAGTTTCCTGGGTTGTCCTACTGGAAAAAAATGCCCTATGATGTGTTTTAAAGAAGCCATACTAGTAACTTTTAGAAGCCTTTCTTTTTCTCTTTCTCTAAACAAGGAGACTAGACATGTCTATGAGTGTGTCTGAAATCTCTGTGTAAGGTATTTATACCATAATATGCCTGTCACTGTCCAATAGTATCTAGGTACCTAAACAGTAGACATAAAACATGGAAAGGGCCAAGAGTGGAGAATGGAATAAAGAACTGATGCATGAACACAAAATGTGGGAGAAGTGTTGATTCTTCTTCCAGTGGTTGCTCATGTCCATTTGAAGTAGGTGTGTGCGCTGCGTGCACCACGTCTTCCGGAGCGTTTTCCCTAGCGGTACCCGTAGCGCCAGCAGGGCGCCCCCTGGAGTGGCGCCGCCATGGCGGGGCATAAGTACCCCTGCTGGCGCTGCCCCACCTCAGTTCCTTCTTACCTCCATGTCGGTCGTTGGAGCGTCTCTCTCTCTATAGCTGTTAGGCTTAGATAGTTTAATGGTTCCCGTTTCTCACTTTGTAAATAGTTGTGTAGTTAGTTAGGTTTTTTGTTTTGTTCCTTGCCCCCCTTGGGGGTAAGGAATGCCAGGGCCGCAAGGCTTTAAAACGTGCGCTGACTGCGGGAAGTTTATGCCCAGGGGCGACCCACACGACAGCTGCCTTAAGCGTCTGGGTGAGGCCCATTTGGCAATAGCCTGCAAGATCTGCAAGTCTTTCAAGCCTCGTACTAGAAAGGACAGAGTTTCCCGCTTGAAACTTCTTCTTATGGAGACGGCGCTTCAACCGGCACCCTCACATTGTAAATAGTTTGTATAGTTAGTTAGGTTCTTTCTTTTTCTTCTTTTCCCCCTCAAGCTCCCGACACCGATTTCACTCTCCCCCTTCTAAGAGGGTGAAGAAGTCCTGGGGCAGATCCCCGTCCAAGAAGCCAGCATCAGCTGGACACCACACCGCTAGCTCACCGGTGCGCGCCTCTCCTCTGGTGCACCGTCGCCCTTGCATGACCAAACTCGGCATGCTACAGTGGCGTATGCGTCGGGACCAACCCCGGTGGGGTCGGCTCCCACTACTACTACGGCCCCCTTTACAACGCCGGGTCTTCATTTCCAGGGAGCTTCGAGCCATGACACATCATTGCTTTCCAAGTTGCCAGAGCCCTGCTTGGCCGTACCGGTGCCATACTCCCAAGGCTATCTGGCTTCTCAAGAGTCGGCGTCCATCTCTGTGCCGTCATCGGCACCGGCTTTGACTCAGTGGTCCACCCCAGTACCGGGCATGGGCACCCCGGTACCGCTCCAGTCGGACACGATTCGGTCGGCATCGAGCCTGAGCACCTCAGTGCCGTACCTATTGGCCACATAACAGGCACCAGGCCTGGATACCCCGGTGCCAAAGCTACAGTCGGCGCAACCGGCACCGGGCCTGGACACCCCGTTGCCGCAGCCACAGTTGGCGCAATCGACACCGGGCCTGGGCACCCCGGTGTCACAGCTGCAGTCGGTGCAATCGGCACCGGGCCTGGGCACCCCGGTACCACAGCCCCAGACGGCACCGCTTCCACTATTTCAGCCATCGCAACCGGCACCGAGCTTGAGCACCTCGGCACCGCAGTTACTGGCAACGCAGCTGACACCGGGCCTAGGCACCCCGGTGCCGCAATTGGCGCACACGGCACCGAGCCTGAGCACCTCGGTGCCACAATTGGCGCACACGGCACCGAGCCTGAGCACCTCGGTGCCGCAACTGGCGTACACGGCACCGAGCCTGGGTACCTCAGTGCTGCAAATGCTGCCTCCAACGGCACCGGGTTTGGGCACCCCGGTGCCGCAGTTACTTACTGGGCAACTGGCACCGGGCCTGCGCACCCCGGTGCAGCAGCTGTTGGTGCCATCGGAGTTCGCCGCACCGGGTCTGGGTCCCCCGGCACCGCAGACGACCCGTCCACGCCGTGCGCATGCAGGCAAGCCAGAGTCGATGGCCAGGTTTGCACTTCGCTCCTCGTCGGCTCCACCCTTCGGTCCCCGTCTAGGGCACTCGTTCTTGATAAATCCATGCTGGCTATTCCTTATAACCCTTTTATCCTCCACGTGCTCACAAATTGACTACTTAATAATTTGTTCCAGGAACTTTTTAGGTATCTAACTGAGGCTGACGACTGGCCTGTGATTCCCCTGGTGCTCTTGGTTCTCCTTCTTAAAGACAGGTTCTATGTTTGGAGCATCTGCTTTTCGATAATGACAGTGGGCCAAATTCTTATCTGGTGTAAATCTGAGACAAGAGCTTGATCCAATATTCACTGATGTTAGTGGGAAGAATGTTTTTGCTTGACTTCAGTGGGCATTAGGGTGGGTACTTTTTACATTAGACCCACTCCTGCTCCCACTGAATTAAGAGAGAATCAGGTGAGCTGAATTCTTCATTGCCTTGTGGCCTCATTTACTGTGTGGCTGAAGGCATGCCAGAGTGCATCAAGACCTCCTGCAGTGCATGGCTTCCAACCTGGCTGTTACGGTTGAGCCCATAATTGAGGATACCGACCCGATGGTAGACATCCTCACTGAGGACACCCCTGCACGATTCGTGCTACCACTTAACAAGACGGTTTCAAAAATTACTAATGCGCTGCGGCAAACGCCAGTGACTCTGACTCCTACCCAAAAAGGGGTAGAAAGGCATTATTTCACCCCGCAGTCGGGTCACGATTTTCTGTACTCCCAACCCATCCCGGGATCATTGGTCGTGCAAGCCGCGGCCCAAAAGGAGAAGCTTCCCCAACCCGGTCCTTCACCGAAGGCAAGGGAACCTAAGAAGCTGGACTTGCTGGGCCGCAAAGTATACTCTACGGGAGCTCTGCAGCTCTGTATCGCTAATCAGCAGGCGATGCTGAGCAGGTACACCTTCAACACCTGGCGGGCAGTCGAGTAATTTAAGGACCGACTCCCAGTGGAGGACCGCCAGGAGTTTGTAGCTATGGCCTCCAAGGGTAAAATCATCACAAGATCTGCCCTCCAAGCGGCTTTGGACACCATGGACTCGGCAGCCCGCACCATGGCGACAGGTGTCGTTATGCACCGTGGGGCGTGGCTACATGTTTCGGGGATCCCCGCGGATGTCCAGCACACTATCCAGGACTTGCCTTTTGAAGGGAAGACATTGTTCTCGGAGCACGCAGATTCCAGGCTCCATACCCTAAAGGACACTAGGTCGACCCTGAAGTCCTTGGGCATACATACGCCAGCTACTCAGCAGCGTCAACTGCCGTTTAGGCAGCAGGGTAGAGCGCAGGCCCAGTCCCCCCGTGGGGACTTCTGTAGGTGCCGCTTCTGTAGGCGCCGCAGGCCCAGATCCCCCGTGGGGACTTCTGTAGGGCCTCCGGTGGAGGTTCCGGGGCGGCCGCGCACCCTCAAGGGTCTAGGGGTCAACGTCGTCGCCCCAGGTCAGATCCCCAACGGGCAGGCCCTTACGGCCCTTCCAATCAGGGCAAGCCTCAATTTTGACTTAGAGCTAGAGAGTCCCATACCAGTCTACCGCCCGGGCCCCCCATTCGGGGCCCGGCTTTCCCGTTTTGCCCAGGCATGGGCACAAATAACATCAGATGCCTGGGTCCTCAACATTGTACATTCAGGCTATTCTATCCCATTCCTGGGCCCACCACCTTCAAAACCCCCTACCTTGTCCCTAACAAGGGACACCCCTCACGAACACATCCTGCTTCAGGAAGTGGGGGCACTCCTCGAAAAAGGGGCAATAGAAAGGGTTTCCCCGCACTTGCAGGGCAAGGGGTTTTACTCCCGTTATTTTGTTGTCCCAAAACCAAAGGGGGGTATCCGCCCTATCTTGGACCTCCGGTTCTTAAACAAGGCGGTGGTGAAACAAAAGTTCAGAATGGTAACTTTAGCCTCGGTCATCC